TTTTTTTTTGCTATCCTAAATGAAACAACTCAAGAGCAGAAGATAAAAATATGGAATTAGAAAAGGTTGAACAATTTAAAAAAAATGGTGAAATTAGTTCAGTTAATAAATGACAAGAAACTGTAAATAATTGGGATTCTCTTGTAGAAGAGGAGAAAGAAATGGTATTAGAATTAAATGAAGATTATTCATATGAGGAATTGACAGAATATAATTTGGATGATAATCTTGCTATTACATTTTAAACTAAATAGAAATTAGAAACTCTTTTTGATAAACATTATTTAGGACAACCAGGATTTATAAATTTATTAAAGTAAAATAGATATCAATTTGTACAGTATTAGCTAGCAATTTTATATTATAAGAAGCTAGCTCTTGGGTATTAGTATAATTAAACAAAAATAAGGATATTTTATTTTACCGAATTTAGTTAGTTAATGCTTAAAGGTTCATATATCTACATAAAAATATCACATAATTACAATTATATTATATAATTATTTGATATAAAAATTTTGTAAGTGTAAAGTCACTTAACAATTTTATAAATTTATAAATTTTTCTTTGTATAGCATTACTAAAGGTCCATAGAATACAGTATGTAAAGTCGTATAAGCTCATGTAGTTTATTATTTATATAGTGATACAGTTTTTGAAGCATATATATTTACAAATTCGATTTTTAAATGCTAATTATCAATTTAAAGAATCTGAAGTCTGGTTTTATAAAAAAGTAATTTACAAGATTACCTGCCATAATAGTTTACTAGAGTTGGAAGATTACAACCTTTCATCTCCAGCCGGCAACCTTAATAATATATATCGGTATACATTTTATAGGAATTGGACCAGGTAGAAACTGTTACTATACGGTTACCTGAAACACATAATAATTTACCCGAATAATCCGGGTAATTTAATAATACCCGAGTAGAGATTTTCTTAACGGGTCCAATCTTTAACTTTTTAAATATACTGTAGATTAAATATATTGCGTATTAGCGAATATTGGCCTGGATTAAGTTTAATTTAGGCCGAAGTTAAATTAAATTTTTTTTATGTCCAATAAAAAAATCTACAATGTCCAATCAAATTATCCAAATGTCCAAATGTCCAAATGTCCAAATTGTCCAAATGTCCAAATGTCCAAATTGTCCAAATGTCCAAATGTCCAATATCGTCACATGACATCACTGGCCTTGAACGAATTTTTTTTGCTCGAAATTTAAATTAGAGAAAAATAATTGTAGTGTATAATGATTAATCACAAGTCGTTATGAGAAATTTTCAACGTTCAAATACGGATGCTTGTACAACCATATCTATGTTGTGCAACCATTTTAGATATTAATACTGTAGTCAGAATTTGATTTACGTTTTAACAAAACTTTCGAAAATAAAGATGGCAGTAAAGCACTTGGAAAAGCTTTCAACAGATT